AGGGCCGCGAGTTCTCGTGCAACTCGTTCCTGCCGGACAAGGCGGCGGCGGAGGCGGCGGGGGGAACCGGACCCGGGGCGAGAATCGGGGCCGGCCCCGGGGCGGGCGGCTCGTCGGAGCCATCGGCTTGCAGCGACCACCCGAGCCCCGGCTGCCCGCTGAAGGAGGAGGAGAAGCAGCATCCGCAGCCGCCGCCGCAGCAACTTGACCCAAGTAAGTGCAAAAGAAATTGCCCCCTGATTTATTGCTGAAACCTGTAAGGCTCGAATGTGCAAAACTGATAGTTTTACTAACCTATAAAAACGTCTAGACGCCTACCCAAGCCTAGGCGAGCAACACGCATCCATAAAAAAGCTTCCCATAACCACCTACCCCGGGCGCGCGGTTTGTACGGTAAACAGAGCGCGGGCATTAAGGCTTTTTATGATAATTCTCCCCAAGTTGTGAAAAGCGGCCATCCTTGGTGAAATTAATTTAACGATCTCTCTCCCCCACCCTGTCGTCTCTCCCTGCCTCCCCTCCGCCCCTCGCTCCCCTTATTCAAACCCCCCTTTTCGTAGACAACCCCGCGGCGAACTGGATCCACGCTCGCTCCACCCGGAAAAAGCGCTGTCCCTACACCAAATACCAGACGCTTGAGCTGGAGAAGGAATTCCTCTTCAACATGTACCTCACCCGGGACCGGCGCTACGAGGTGGCCAGGATTCTGAACCTCACAGAGAGACAGGTCAAAATCTGGTTTCAGAACCGTAGGATGAAAATGAAAAAGATGAGCAAGGAGAAATGCCCCAAAGGAGACTGACCCGGCGTGGTGCTGGCGACAGCGCTTAAAGGCGGCAGCGGGGCTTTCCTTTGTGGGTGCTTGATTTCCAGAAACTCTCCAGCGACTCGGACTTTTATTTTATTTTTTCTTTTTTAGGTAGCAGTGACTGTGTGATTGGTCTCTGTGAGGTATTTGGGGGACTCTGTATTTGCTCGCTTACGTGTTGGAGAAACCAGTGGCTTTGGGGTTCGCCCTATCCCACTCCCTCCCTTTTCTGCTCCGTTGGTTCCTTAGGAAATGCTATATTTTGTGAGTGCACGCTGGCTTAAGGAGGCCTCTTCTGTGTAAATGTCCCCCACGTTTCTGAAAAGTGCTGTAGCTTAGCCCCCTAGCGCTGCCCAAACAGGGGCCAAGCGCGCCCCAATTCTGACAATGAAGGCAGAGCAATGACACTGCAGACACGGCGGCTGCTTGGCCAGGCCAAAGCCGGGTCAGTTGCCCACCGTTCGCGAAAGCCCCCTTTCCTCAGGGAGCCTGCGGGCCCTCGGCTGGAGAGATCTCGAGTGAGGCCTAGACAGGGGCCCAGGGCCTCGGGTGGGGATTTGTTCTCACTGCATTGGAGGAGCTGCTCTAACTCCAGGAGGCTGGGCCCCCATGGGCGGCTGCGGGTGATGGCCCTCCCTGTTCCTGCTTGAGGACCAGTTGTAAATGTTACCGCTTCCTACCAATAAATGCTGACCTGATCAAACGGAGCCCAGACACTGGTCCTGAACGTTGTGTGCCTGCTTTCTCTGTTTCTCTGCAAAATATCACCCTCAGGAGACTTTTCTCCCATCCCTGGGAGGGAGACTTCGTTAAAAAACCGGGGCCCTTTTACCTGACAGATCTCTTAAGTGCCTCTAAGCTTCCCTTTGTGTGGGCAGACCCAACCTAGAGCGCAGCCCTTGGGGAGTCCTGATGCCTCCCCCAGCCTGGTTCCAGAGCTTCGGGGAATTCCGCGCCCTATCAGCCTTGCAAGGAGCGTCCTTCGGAGCCTGTAGGCCCCAGGAGCCAGGCACCTCTTGCTGGGGCTTTGGCACATCGCACCCCACACCTCTCTGGGCTCATGGGCTCAGCTGCCAATCCCCTCTCCACACAAGGGAAAGGCCAACTCTGTACCCTGGAGCAACTCCCCCAGCTCAGCGGTGCTGGCTGGCTCCGGGAGGTCTGAGCTGGTCAGTCTGTGAGCTTCCGCCCCTCCCCACCAGAGCCCCAAAATGACCTTAGCGGATCAAAATGGTCAAGGCTCTCCTCCCATCCACCCCTATCCCACTGCTCCCTCCCCCACCCCAGCTTCTGTGTACGTTTAGCCCCCAAGCTGGGCCCTCTGAGGGCCGGCCGCATTCAGAAGCTAAAATGAAGGTCATTGTAAGTAAGGGTTTGGGCCCAGCACAGCCTTTGCAGGCCAGAGAGGTGGCAGAGGCGCCACGCAGCCAGGGCTAAGTGGAAAGCAGGGGTGGTGGCAGAGATCCTGGGGATCCTGATGAAAGAAGGGACTCGAAGAAAAAGCAGAGGGGGGCTGGGAGGGAAAGCCAAGGCCCGGATCCGGCAGAAGGTGCTGCGTACCCCCGCCCCTGAGGCCAGCCCGATACCTAAGGCTCTTTGAAAACAGGAAGAGCCAAGGTGTCATAAAGCCATCGAGCCGGCGAGACGTCTGGAGGTAATGAGTTTACAACAGGCCCGGCGCTTCGCTTTGAAACCATCTCATTTTGATGTTTGTGTTTGTGGGAAGAAAGGAAAAATGCAGACAAAACTGGGTCTTAAAATCTGGACAATAAAATATAAACAAGACTGCGTTGGACCGAGAAGGCAGGGAGGTGGGAGCCTCCGGGTGAGGTGTTAGCACCTAGGAAATAAAAATGAGAGGGGAGGAAGGAGGAGGTGATGTGTCTCTGATTTTTTAATGGGCCGGGTATTAGAAGTAGTCCACAGTGAGGTAGCTCATTATAGTATTTTGACTATGGTCAAGGTCTACCTGATTCTAATATATATATACACTTAAATGTATATATATATATTTAATGTATGTATGTATGTGTGTGTATATATATATATATACACATTTAAATTGGCCTGCTATTTGGGAGTAGGGAGGTCTTGCATCTACACTTAAATGTATATATATATATATTTAATGTATGTATGTATATATATATATATATACACATTTAAATTGGCCTGCTATTTGGGAGTAGGGAGGTCTTGCATCTTTTATTCAGGCAAGAGTCTCCCAGAAGTGTGGTCAGCGGGAAAAGATGAAGTTACTCAGATGCCTTCTCACACAAATATCTGGCCCTCCACTCCAAAGTTTGCAGCAAAAATATTTTTGGAAATTATTTCTATTTACTTAAATAAAATGCAATCATTACACCTGAAGTGGAGGAAAGCATTTTTGAAAACAAAAAAAGATTAACATCGCATAAAACACCTAAGCCAGTTAAACCGTCCTTCCTTTTTAAAAAATTCAACTGTAATGCCTAGTCAATTTAATTCAGGGTTACTTTTGATATAAATTTTTAAAGTCCCATTTATTTTCCATAGAAATTCAAACGAATACAAACCCAAAAGAGACTTTCCAGACAACCAGTCAGAGATCCAGCAAAAATCTTTTAATTTGCCTTCAATCTCCCTCAAAGTTGCTCAGCTAAATGGACCTAAAGCATTAAAATTACAAAGTTAAAATACAAATATCCGTGATTTAATGCTAAGAGTAACGGCTTTAAAATAATAATAAAAGTTTGACGTCTATAACTTCTTAGTTGTCTAAGTGCCTGGCTCCTCTAAAAACAAACAAATAAAAACTCTCTTGGCAGTTGATATTTAGAAAATTGTGATTTTTGTTATATCTAGCCTGTCCTACCTATACTTGTGCTTAAAAAGCACTGCTGGGCCATTACAGAATGGAGACCTAAGGCGTCTGGCAAAAGAAGGGCTGGAAGCTTTTGGAAAATAGATTACTGGAAGCTCTTGAGAGCACAAATGAGAATATTTTCGGCATTCAGGAGCCCTTGTTTGCTGTACTTGATTTGTTGACAATCAAAAGGATGAAGTATTATTAATGTCAGCGGTCCAAGCCCCAGTCAAACTAAAGAACAAGATTAGAATTGGTGTGAGACGAATAAAAGGAAAGTTAAATTCAGTGGGCAGGAGGTGGCATTTGGCCACTAGAGAGCGCTGTTGCTCCACTTTCTGATCTCGTAAAGCTGAAGTTGCGGTGGAGGGTTTTGATTAAAAATATTTACAATCTTATTTTTAATCCCAAATTAGGATACATTTAACCAAAAATAAACAATGTGCACTATTAAATTCTCCAGGCTTGTTTGTTAGGCATAAAATTTGGCTCAGTCAGGATTTCAGAAACTTGGACTATGGCACAGCTGAAACTGAAACGTTACGGAAAATTGTGCATTCTGTCAAAATAGAAAAGTGTAAAAGCATAGATCTTTATTTACGAAGTTGTTAGCTCTCTTTTTCTATTCAGATTATAAACAGAATGCTTAAATAAATTCTTTAAAAACTGTTTTTTTCCAAGAGGAATTGTTGTGTTGTAATGTTTCTAATTTAGGCCTGAATGAATACAAATAAATTTTGTAGTGTTTGTATGTCCACCCCCCAGAATCACATAGTTCTAGAAGGTGCTTGTATCATTGAGATCTGGGCTCTCTCTCCTATTTTTTTCCCATTCCATTCCAACACCCATTCATTTATCAAAGGTTCAAACATTCACACTCACACATGCCAAACAGTGAAATAAGGCACAATTACAAAGTTAGCTCCAAGGCTTTATTCAAAATAATAATCTTTCAATTGGGTATTTGCAATATTGAAGTACAAAATCCTTAACTCTCAGAATCATTTCCTTCACCTTTGGAATTAAAGGTGGCCATAAACCTGGCCATAAACGGGGGGGGGGGGGGGGGGGGGGGGGGGGGGG